AGAACATCGACTTCATGCATAGACACAACCGATCTGATAGCGAAATTGCGTTAAAGCGGTTATTTGATACCCTGCACGAGTTCAACGCGGACAAACCGCTCAGGCGACCTCCGGTTCTTCTCAAAGGTGGTCTTGACGCTTGGATGGACCTGGTGGGCCCACAGGCTTTGAAGACGTCGAACACTGCTGGGCAAGTGGCTGCTGGTCAAACGCGGGCTCGGGCTATTCGACGATCGCCAGCTGCCAGCCATATCGCGAGGAACAATACGCAAAGAAGATCAAAACGTGAATACGTTCCCATGGATCAAGAAGAGCAGCAACAGTGGCTGGAGGAAGCTCGAAAGGGGCGTGCGGCAGTGGAAGTCCCTCCGGCAGATGGTGAAGATGAAGACGAGCCTACGCAGGACTTCTATCGTTCGACAGAAGAGTTCCTACGCCGATACCCCGATGTTGAAGCCGAGCAGTCATCCATGATGTACCCGTCCAAGTTCCAGTCGACCAACCAATACGTCGCACCTGCTATACCCGTTGCGCCTTCGCGGCCGCCGCCCTCTGTTCCTAGGGTGAGCTACAGTGGCGTACACGATCGGCAAGAACAGAACCGCAATGTCGTCTACAACGGACAACCTCAGTTTAGTAACTTGAGGCTACATAGGACGGGCCTGCTGAATTTTGGCGTCACGTGCTACATGAACTCGGTGGTGCAGTGTCTCAGTGGGCACCTGTTGCTTTCAGACCTGTTCCTCACCGGACGATATCAGCGAGATCTTCAACGAGACAATTGGAAGGGAACAAAGGGGATTTTGCCGGAGGCGTACGCGACGCTACTGTCTAATCTGTACAAGGGCGATGTCACGTCCGTGCGCCCAAGCACATTCAGGGTAAGTCGGAGATGGAAGCAGAAGATAGGCATGGCTAACTTTGAACAGCGCATTTGCGGACACTTCAACTCGCAGTGGGGCATTGATGAGCAGCAAGACGCCAAGGAGTTCCTGGAATTCGTTTTGGACTACATGCACGAAGACTTGAACCTAACATGGAACAAGCCGCCACTCAAGCCACTCTCGGACCAGGAAGAGTTGCAACGAGAAAGATTCCCCCGCCAGTATTCAGCAATGATTGAGTGGCGGAGATACCAGCACCGGGACATGTCTGTCATCGGTGGTCTCTTCGCCGGTCAGCACGCTTCACAGCTTACATGCCAGACATGCGGCGTGACAAGTACAACATATGAAGCTTTCTGGAGTATCAGCGTAGAGATTCCTCGGGACGGCGAATGCGATCTACGTCACTGTCTAAACTCATACTGCGCACCAGAGCGTCTAGCAGGAGACGAACTATGGCGCTGCCCTCGCTGCAAGAAAGACCGCGAAGCCGTAAAGAAAATCACCATCACCCGCGCCCCCGACACCCTCGTCATCCACTTCAAGCGTTTCAGCGCCTCGCGCACCGAAAGCGCACGCAAAGTCCGGACGCCTGTTAACTTCCCGCTCCAACGCCTCGACATGGGTCCCTTTGTCGAGCCACCCATGACGCCAGAACAAGAAAGATATGTGTCGGAAAAGGCCCGAGATGGACCTGCACAACTTGCTGGCGTAAAGAGCGATCCCACTATGAATGGGCCGTATGTGTACAACGCCTACGCTGTTATCTGGCATATCGGTGCTACGCTCGGAAGCGGACATTACATCGCTTTTGTCAAGGACAAGTCTAGGGGATGTTGGCGCAGTTTCAACGATGATAAGATTACGGACTTTGATCCCGGGAATCTGCCTCCGCACAACCGTCTGCAGAATGAGAAGGCGTATATTGTTTTCTATGAGAGGGAGAGGGTCGCTGGTGGTGCTTTCTAGCAACACACATGTTGATAACACGTCCAGCGCGTTTGGTTGAGTGTTTACGCGTTATTTGACTTTTGGCGCTGCATCTTGGGAAGTTTGGGTAGCGACAGTCTTGTTCAGATTATACTTTGCGCATGCGACGAATTATGCTCTGGGACGAACGGGGCATTGCATACTTGGCGTTGGGATTATATACCTTGTCGAATATCATTCCGTTGAGACGCACCATTCGTTTGTTACCTTTACATGTAAACTTACTGTGATGCTTGAGCACCTTGGATACAGCGGGATAGGCACTACGGATGGCTACCATCTGTGCCGCATTGTGTGAAAGACTTGACTGTAGGAATATACATTACCTCAGATGCTGCCTACTAATGAAATTTCAATAGTACGTACACTGCAAGCTGCAAACCGCGACACAAACCGTAACTTCCTATACCATGGGCTCTCCAAACTTGATCTCAGAGTTCAGGTCCGTCGTGAGGCTGACAAGCCGATGATCGGGCGGCAGGGATGGTGAGGGCCGAACATTTTTTGTGTGCGATAAGATAAGGTTTCTGACTCTCCACACCCGTCGTTCCCCAGACGCCGCAACCCCTCCTTCAATTGACTCTTCTTGACTCTTTTCTTCTCACTTTCTATATACCCAACACTTGCAGATATGTCAAAGGGACGCGTTTGCCTTGCTTACTCTGGTGAGTACTTCTGCAACAGACAATATTATGGCAACCCCAAGCCAACCCAACGCCGACTGCGTTCAACTTGCTCAGAGCCAACTAACCTGAGTCATTAGGCGGCCTCGACACCTCCACGATCCTGAAATGGCTCATCGGTACGTCAGAAGCACATTCAGACACACAACACAATCTAACGCGTAGACAAAGAGGAGGGCTATGAGGTCGTCTGCTTCCTCGCCAACGTCGGTCAGGAAGAGCCCTGGGACGAGGTGGAGAAGAAGGCGCTCAAGATCGGCGCGAAGAAGATGGTCATCCTAGACCTGCAAAAGGAATTCGTCGAGGAGCTCTGCTTCCGCGCCGTCCAGTGCAACGCCTCGTACGAAGGCCGCTACCTCCTCGGCACCTCGCTGGCCCGCCCCGTCATCGCCCGCGCACAGATCCGCGTCGCGCAGCAAGAAGGCTGTGGGTTCGTCTCGCACGGCTGCACGGGCAAGGGCAACGATCAGGTCCGCTTCGAGCTGGCTTTCTACACACTTCAGCCTACTATCAAGGTTATTGCGCCGTGGAGGCTGCCGGAGTTCTGCGACCGCTTCAAGGGCAGGCAGGATCTGCTGGACTACGCTGAGCAGCATGGTATTCCGGTTACGTCTACTAAGGCGAAGCCCTGGTCCATGGACGCCAACTTGGCTCACTGCAGTTACGAGGCTGGTAAGATACCACACATCTAGACTGTATATTCAAGGCTAATCATTCAGGCATCCTCGAGGACCCCGACGTGTCTCCCCCAGACGACATGTGGACCATGACCGACTCCCCCCTGAACGCCCCCAACGAACCCACCGACATAACCGTCCACTTCGAAAAGGGCATCCCCGTCAAACTCACCACCCCCTCGCAGACCTACACCGACTCCGTCGAGCTCTTCACCGCCCTCAACAAACTCGGCTTCACCCACGGCATCGGCCGCATCGACATCGTCGAGAACCGTTTCATCGGCCTAAAATCGCGCGGCTGCTACGACTCGCCCGCCATGACCATCCTCCGCCTCGCCCATCTCGACCTCGAGGGCCTCGTCATGGACGCCCAGGTGCGCAACCTGCGCGACCAGTTCGTGTCGCACAACTGGAGCTACCAGCTCTACAACGGCATGTACTTCTCGCCCGAACGCGAGTTCATCGAGAACAGCCTGCTCTTCTCGCAGCGCAGGGTCAACGGCGAGGTCAGGATGAAGCTGTACAAGGGTAATGCGTATGTGCTTGGTCGGTCCAGCCAGACTGAGAAGCTGTACTCTGAGGAGGAGGCTAGTATGGATACGTTGGATAACTTTAGTCCTATGGATACTACGGGCTTTATTGCTATTCAGAGCATTCGGTGAGTTTATACGTCTAGTCCTTGGATTGAAGGGTGGGTATGGATAGTTTGCTAACGTGAAACAGTCTCAAGAAGTACGGGCTCCAGAAGGCGGAGGAGGGCGAGAACATGTCGAGGGCTTAGAAGGCTTCTTCTGATATGCATACGACGCTGAAGTACGATACTACGTTGACGTACTGGCGCAGGTGGCTTCATCGTGAAAACCTTCATGATCAGATTACTTATGCGTCTCCTGAGGCTACGCCGAAATGACGCATGGTCTGGCGAAGCGGTCGTGCTGGGGTCAATGATGAGATGAATAAAGTAGATACCAATGATAAAAATCATACTACTATTTTGACCCGATGTTTCCGTGTTGTCTGGTAACGAGATGACGCGTAAGAGATGATACTCTCCAAATAGGTGCTGTCTCGCAATAACTAGACAGTCGAAAGATCACAGCTAAAGCTAGCCTGATAGGGCCCTGGGATCAGAAAAGACCAACATACTGCAACGAAACCCATCTGCTACAGTCAAATCCCCTTTACTACCAAACATCCAAACCTCGACCAAAACATCAAAGTCTCTCACAGAAAGACTTGGAGCTCGAACGCGAACCCCAGAAGCGCTCATTGGCTGACGCGAACGCCAAGCACTAGCTCCAAATGGTGGGTGAAGCTATTCCGAGCGTTCCGATATCGGTTATCCGGGTGTCGGTACCGCTGAGAGCAACGTCGCACTCAGGTTCCAGGTTATCGCATACTTATCTGCTTTTGTAAATCCTCTGCTCGCATAGCTGAGAAGATTTTGTAAGGTGGCTTGGCGCGTCACGGTCAGGATGCGGTTGATGATGTAGCTTGTACCCAGTGTGTACTTGATCGTCTTTCTCTTCCTTCTCTCCATCTTCTTTCTGAATCCACGCCAGTTTCGCAGCTCCAGTCTCCATGTCGCCGCGTCTTTTCTGCTCTCTCTTCTTCAGCCTTCTCCATTTTTCGTTGCTCGCTCGTCCATCCTAGACGTCGTGTCGTGGCGTACCTAGGTATGCGCCGCTTGGTCACCTCGGGATCCCGCTGTCTTCCTTGTACTCCGGGTCCATGTTCACTTCTCATTCCCTTTTCCGTCTGCATCCTCATTCGCCGGAAGGATGCTGCCTTCGTTGTGCCTCAACCCATTCCTCAGTGGTGAGGTACAAGCTTGACCGTCTCCGCCTCGATCCCGCATCCAACTGTTGCGCCTGCCCAGTGCTGCCGTTGTAGTTTCCTGGCTGTCGCGAGGAAGGTCCTGCGTAAGCCGCAGGTGGGTTGTAGTCGGCAACAGGGTAGTTGGCCTGGGGTTGTTGCGCGGTGGGCTGGCGCTGGTATGGTTGCGCATACATGGTGGGTTGATGCTGTTGTGGCGGGAAATTATTGACGAGGTTTTGCGCATACATCGAGCCCGGCTGCGGTATGACGATGTTGTTGATGGAGCCTGGCGCGTACATCGGCTGCGGTTGCTGTTGCGGATGGAAATGCGCATGCTGTGGAGCATACATGATCGGCGCATATGGACTTTGGTAAGTCCCAGCGGGAATGTAGTTGGCAAAGGTGGGTTCTGGAAGGGGACGTTGATCGGGAACCCCATAGTGACCATGAGGCTGGTATATAGCAGCAGGTGCAGGGGTAGGTGGAGGAGCAGAAATGGGAGGCTCCATCTGGTAGAAGATTGGACGGGAAGCCATCTGATCGAGGGTGTACCATCCGTTCGCCGGTCCGACAGGAGCCATATCCCAGGATAGATTCAAAGCCTCACTCTGGACTGCGTCCAAGTTCAGTCCAGCTTCCTCAAAGTCCTCAGCTCGCAAGGCATCTTCATCGAAGTTATTACTTGAAGGCTGATGTCCCACAGCATTCGAAATGCCATGGCCCAAAGTACCCTGACTTGAGTTCGAAGGAAACCTCATCAGATCGGTTTCAGGGAAGGCATTACCAAACTGGTGTTGCGGGTAATGCTGGTATTGCTGATATTGCTGCTGCGGCTGCACGAAGTTCATACGCGAGGCTGGTGCCGGAACAGCATGCGACGTGTATCCTGCTCCTGGACGGGCAGAAAAAGAGGGAGGAGGTGCCGTATCAGCAGGCGGCGCATATTCCGCTCCGAGATGGGCAGCAAAATGAGTTGGAGGTGCACGCGAATATGGAGCATATCGCTGGCTGCGCACGTCATTCCTGGGTGCAGCCCTACGACCAGACTGCACATTTGTCGCTACATGTGGTCGGTCCACATGCTCTCCTCGGGTAGGGATGACCAACTGACCAGGAGCCGGCATGGTTGGCAGAACCCGAGGCATACCCTGGGCGAGAGCGAGTGTAGCCTCACTCAGGTCCGCTGCATTTGTAACGTTACCGTTAACACCCCATCTTGCCTTTGGCGACCCAGGAAGAAGGCGCGGTGGTTGTCGCCGCGGTGGTGGTGGTGTCGAGTCTGCACTGCGACGTTTGCGTTGGTTAGGCTTTGTGCTTGCGTTGGGAGCCATCTTGAATGGTTCGATTAAGAGGGAGAGGTATGTCAGTAAAGTCAAAGTTGCTTGTGCTAATAAAGTTGTAGATGTTAACGAGCATATTATATACGCAGCGTTTTCAGCACGCGCAGTGAAGTTCGCTAGAGAAGACGGATTTGGACATGGTAAAAATTGTCTATCCGTGGTTCGACAATGTTTAACCATAGGTGTTTCTTCTCCGCTACACACAGCAAACAACATACCAATATTGTATGCCCTTACACCAGAAGAGGCGGCTAACTAAAGCACGCGTACTTATCGTTCGCGTCTCCGTTGGCGTTACCTGCGACTGCCTCTGTGGACCAGCTCCTGCCGCCTCGTTGCAGCCACGCTTCATGTTCCAACCTCTCTGAGTCGAACTTGTAATTGTTAGATGACTCTACAGGCGCCGGTCGCTTGCGGTAAGCTTCCTTTGATGCTTCACTTGCCCGCCTATCCGCGTGCACTTTACTGTCACCCCCCACTTTACTTGGGGGCCCACCCCGAATTACCAACTTTGTTTCTGTATTTCCACCGCTAGGATCATCCTTAGTTTCACTCCGCACCTTCCCAGGTCGCCCACCACGAATTACCATGTCTCTCTTCATAATTCCACCGTTGCCACCAACTCGACCACAGTTACGCTTCTTCGCTTCCTTAGCCCGCAATGATGCTCGGACATCTTCGAGACACATGAATTGAAGAAGCTCTACATGCTCAGAAGAAGGTGGGTTTCGGTCGAGTAGCTTCATTGCAAGTGTTCTTGGCAAGCGCACGTGATCAGTAGCGAGGTCGAAATTCATGACCTCCTCCGCTAGCCCTGCCAAGTCAGTACCGTGGAGGCTGTTGACTTCGTCGTCTCGTTTGCGCTGTGCCTTGCTTTGAGCGGTTAGCGGGACCTCGATGTCGTTGAGCTGGTCAGCTAGGTCGGTCATTTCGCTGGCGCTCATTTTGGGTGGATGATGGTGCTTTTATGATTTGAGTAGTTGATGTGCCGGATAGGAGTGAAAATCTGAAAGAGGGCAATTACTGTGCAATATATAAGGGCGAAGAAAGCGCTAGACTGAGACAAATTGTCTCGTATAGGCTGTGTTTCGTTGGTCTTAAGGCTCGGTCACTTGGCTAGGCTTCACTTTGGCGTACTTTCTAATCCCATGACAATGCAGCAATGAAACAATTATCAGTCTATTACAATCTCATATGTGCCAAAACTATCCTACACCTACTCATACAAAAGAAAGTTTATATCCGTGCCGTATGTGCGCAATCACAAGTCTGAAGCATGACAACATGCTCATATAGTTTCATGATGCGACAAGCCTGCGAGTAGTTGTCTCACTCAAGCATAGCTTCCACCAAACATACTGACACTGCGGCCCATTCGCCAAGCACCCCAAAGCACCATACCCAAGATCGCTAAGTTGGCAAACTGCCTGCAGATGACGAGCAGGAAGGTTGTAGCCAAGACGGAACTGTCCGACCATCCAGAGGTATCGACGTAGAGCAGGATGATATCGTAGATGATGAAGATGTCGCGAAGCCAGATGAGAGGTACAACGGTGAAAGCGAAACGAGCGAGGTCGTTGCGTTCGGGTGACTGCGGAGCGTTAGTTACAGAACTTGATATACTGTCATAAAGAGAAAGACTTACACCATGAGCGTTCTTGTTCGTGGTACCATACTCCCTCCACACTTCGATGGAAACACTCAGACTAGCTGCGACAACGATAGCTTCGTGCACGATGTAGGTAATCCTCGTCGCACGGTCATGGTGCATGACGTTGGACCAAGACAAGAGCGCATCCGGGCCGGAGCTACCGGTACTGATGTCTCGCGCCTCCAGACCCAGACCACAAGCTGCAACGCCAGTGCCTAACATGGCAACCATGATGAACGTGTTCCAGATACGCGACATGGTCTTCGGCGTCGAAATACCCGTACCGTTCTCTTGGACATGACTAGAATGGATCCAGACACCGCCGTTGAGCAGCACGGTGAAAAAGATGGTCGCGAGCGTTGTGGCGAAAGTAAGCGCTGAGATGCTAGAGGCGTAGTCACTGCCTGTGAGAGTGTAGCCACGACGGCCGTTCCATCCTAGGTCCGCATCGTAGTCGATCGTTCCACTCGTCTTCAGGACATCGGATATGAAGCGACATAGGTACGCGACGAAGAGACAGAGAAGGGCTGGCCAGAGGAAGAGATAGGTTCCCAGTGTCGTTTTTAGCGGGCCATCGCGCGCGCTGTTCTTGCCCGGTGCGGTGAAGCGGCGCTGTTTGATCCGCTGGAATGTAGGTCTCGAAGCCAGACCAAGGAAGATCAGGGCGCCAGCTGCCGTGATGACATCGAGGGCGAAGACGGCTTGGTAAGATTCTCTTTCGTTGGTGATGTTGATGTTGGACATGGCACACTGCGTGATGAGGCGCGTAGGCAGTTCGACTCAGGTGAGGTTTTGGATGCAGATCGAAGCTGGAGCAAACCCCATCTTTGAAGGCATGCGAAATGATGAAAAAGCATGCCTGATGCCTATGACGTTGATTGCTGTCACCCTCTTGGCAATAAGGTGTTGGGTGGATCTGTTCGGATCTGAGTGCCGATTGATGGCGGTTCCGGCAAGGACGGCAGGTATAGCGAAGTTGTCGTCTGGTGTGTGTCTCAGCTGCTGCTCCCAGCACATCGTACAAGAAACGACAACCCTATGTGGAATGGTTGAATCGTATAAGTGGATGCAAGCGTACAGATGATGCCGTGGTTCTGGTCAAGCTGTGGAGGTTGGGGAGCAGTCTAGCTGGTATCTGGTTTAGTCGGCGGGAGGAGCGCGGACGCTAAGACGTGGTCTAACCGCTTCAGGATCTGGCAGTTCGCCTCTCCTCCAATTCCGTTCCACCCGTTTTCTCGAGACAACTCGTTCTCCTGGCGCATCTAGTGTCACGCCTGATTTTCGACATCATGGAGGGCTGGACATCCATTGGACGCGGTATAAGACCACCAGCACACTGCGCTACACGGTTATAGGCATTCGTCGGAGCCGTCGACCTGGTCTGCAAGATTCGCGAACATACGCTGATGCAGCTATGCGATAAACACTACGAAGCGCGATGTCGTACTACAGGACGAACTTGGACTAAAGAGACTGGTAAGCATAGCATGAAGAAAGGGTCAAGCTTCTTAAGGAACTGAAGAGTTCTGCTGAGCGAGGCGCACGGAAATCGTGGTTCACTATTCATAGTCTTTGTACTAGTATTACAAGTTGAGATACATCGTTGAAGGCAATAATAGTTGAGTAGAATATGGTGAGTGTTCATCACTTTCACCTCGTGGCTTTGTGAGCCTCGGCGGTTACGTCATGTTGACGCGCATCAGTGTCGCGCTAGTCGGCCTGCAAGGAGACGCGTCGTGTGATCGATCACTCATTCATCTACACAACAGACGTCGCATCAGCCACTGCGCGCAGCAATCGCATGGCGCGATCGCATACTACCAGATGTGCAGATATAAACCCCAATCTAACGCGTTCCTTGCGATGGACGACAACCTGCATGAAGTATGCACGACCATGCGGCGTCTGGTCAATTCTCAGGCCATGAGGTGACGTGATACACACGCTCCAACCAAATACTGGATGTCATTTCTGTTTCTAGCACCTTTGCGACAACTCCGAGTCTCTTATGGTTAGCGGCTGCATCAATGCGAAAGAGTTCAGTCGGCCAATGGTCCTCACACGGTAGTGAGATCCAACCTTCGTCTACTCATCTTGCTCTCGCGAAACCAACACATCAACATCTCAAGCGTTCCACAACCCTTCGTCGATGTCACTGTCGCGGCCAGGAAGCTCGACTCTGACTAGCAACGGTCGTGCACCCCCTCCTTCTCACATGAGCCGATCTTGCTGTGCCTCACGAACGCATCTTCCCCTGGAATAGCGGAGGATTTACCTCATACAGTCCAGAATTACAGCGCTTTCAGGAAAAGATTCGACCACATCTCAACCGCTTGGTTGACACGATGTTCGCTCGCATCGTAGCTGCCCCCCGCGTAACGGTAACGATCAGTCGTCCCGTTCTTACTCTGAAGTGTTGGTTACCTGGTCCTCCCACGATCACGACTGTTAATACAGGACGCATATCGGAAGTTGACATGCGACTAATGCACGCTCAAAGCAACTCGGTTAACCGGAAGAATCCTTTCACCTCCTTGCCCAACCCCACGCCGCGTTGTTATTTCCCAATGTGTAAGAATCCTATATGGCCGGGGTCGCTTCCCACAGCATAGTACCCACTATGAAGCATGACTACGAGTCAGTCTCCGAGGAGCTGTCTCGAAAGACAAGACTGGTTGAGGGAGCAAATGGGCTCGTTGACCAATACATCTCTCGAACCTATTGGAGAACCTTCTGGATCTCACAATGAGCAAGATTCTACTCACGGGCGCTACAGGATACGTTGGCGGCACTGTTCTCGCCCAGCTTATTGCAAACACGGCACCGAGTATCAAAGATCTCACTTTCGACCTCCTCATCCGCGATGAAACGCAAGCTCAGAAGCTCAAAACCGTATACGGCTCCCGTGTAAACACCATCAAATGGTCCGGTCTGGAAGATGTAGCCTTCATTGAAGACACAGCATCCAACTACGACATCATCATCAACACAGGCTCTGGCTTCATTCCTGAAGGCGCCATTGCCTTTGTCAATGGACTCGCTCGCGGCCTCAATGCTGGCAAGCCAGCGCCATGGATACTACACATATCAGGTTGCACCAATCTATCCGATCGTCCCATATCGCAACCTCCACGACCCATACGAGAATGGAACGACGAGACGGACAAAGGCAGGATCTTCAGCTTCATGAGAGCGCTCGATGAGATGGAGCCCTACACGCAGCGGACAACCGAAGTGGGCGTCTTGGAGGCTGCTGATGCTACTGGCGTACAGGCTATTAGTATCAACACACCATGCATCTTTGGCGAAGGCACCGGCTTGTTCAACAAGCAAGGCCTGGTCATTCCCTTGATCATGATGTACGTTGTACAGCATGGATACGGTTGGAAGCTTAATGAAACAGCGAACTTCGATTGGGTTCACGTCATCGATCTCGCCGACATATATGTCCTCCTCGTACGCAAGATCCTCGAACGCGAAGATCGCGGCGTCGGTTACCTCCCATCCGGCAAGAAAGGCGTCATGTTCGCGGCTGTTGGGCGCACACTCATCAAGGACATCAATCAAGGGTGTCTGGACGCAGCATTCGCTGACGGTATCTTGCCACGTGAAGGTACTCCCAAGGAGAGGGAGATTCGGTCTGTGCCGCTGCATGAGATTGCCGACAAGCTCACTGCGGGTCGTCGCGATATCGCGGAGCGTGGTTGGGGTGGGCATAAAGCTACGAAAGCGGTACTTGCATGCAAGCTATTGGGCTGGAAGCCAAAGAGACAGCAAGATGCTTGGGAAGCTGACTTCCAAGCCGAGTTGATTGCACTGAAGGAGAACAGGCGCATTGTGACAATGGAGAGCTGCATCGGCGCGACTCAGAAGTAAGCGACGAGGAGCCATCTTCGAGACCTATCCAAGGAACAAAAAGATCTATACTGCGTGTCGACGATTTCTTCTAGTTGGTCACCTTGAAGCTCCTCTGGCGCTCTTAAAACGCGAATAGAACTACGATACGACAATTCCCGCTTTCGTTCTCATCGCGATCCAGATGTGAAAATCGCTCCCCGCTCAGAATGTCCTCGACGCGTTTCATGCAACAGCGTACGCGGCTCACGCATCCTTCAGCCGGGAATAACATCCCATCGGAGCTGCCTGCCATCCTAAGCGGCAGGTCCCTTGTGTAGGATTTAGCCACGGCATACGGCGTGGGGAAATGTCCGCTCTCGAGTCAGTGCGGCGTGGAGGTTTATGCGACACTGCCGAGTATGAGCTCATCTTTGCGTCAAAATCCTAACCGAGCCTCACAGACCACCAAGAGTTGCTTCTATTCAGATAACGCAACGGCAATCTTAGCACGACCAGGGGATGTCCGTACTTGATCCAGTGAGATGGTGATCAGACATGAAAGAGATGCCATTTCGAGCCGCGACTGCATAGGCGTCCAAGGCCGTTGCACTGGGGCGAAACAACAACCATGTGATGCACCAACAGTCATAACGATCGCCAGCCTGTTCTCCCACGCCGTGAGGCACGGCGGGTGGCCCCGAGTAGGCCAATAGGTGTAGTTTTGTCTTTGCCTGTGGCTACAGTAGCACTTGGCTTTGGATAGGACACCTTCTCCACATGCATCAGTTCTTCTTTGGTGTTTGACCATCGCAGATGTCTCCACTGCAGAACATGTCTCGTCAAATGCAGCCTCGCGGGCTCGAGAGTGATACCAAGCAGTCTTCGTTGTTCGCCATCGGCATCCCCTTCATCGCAATCGCCAGTGTCGTAGTATCCCTACGCGTCTATGTTCGTGTACGCTTGATACGGCTGAAATTGGCTACCGACGACTGTGAGTTCCACCCAATAGCTAACTATAGCAAGCGGCGTACTGACAGAGCTAAACTCAGATTTGATAATCTCTGGCGCGTTTTTCACCATCTCGCTGTCAGTTGCTAATATGGTTTGTAAGTTTACGACCCTCACATCGAAGGCGTGATTGAGCTCAAGATTGACTAACAGCCCAATCGCAGGCGGTTGGTGCGGTGTAGGCAAGCACAGTAAGGAGTCAATACTGATCATCTGCTCGAACTTCAGCTGACGATCTTACAGCACCCGATATTTCCAACGAAGACCTCACTCCTATGTTGAAGGCAAATCTCGCGACACGCTTACTATACGTCGTAGCGATATGCCTCGTCAAGTTCAGCATACTCGTGTTCTACCACCGACTAGACCCTCGACGACCCACGAGATGGATTGTGTACTTCCTGATGGCATGGGTGGCTGCACTCTCGATCGTGACGTTCTTTGTGCTATTGTTCGTTTGCACACCGCCATCCCTGTTTTGGAATCCTGAGGGTCAGGCTCTGCATCCAGAGAAGTGCCTCAAGCAGGACACACAGCAAGTGTTCTTCAACATCAACGGCATCATGAAGTAAGCATTGTAGCCAAAATCCGACTTGAAGCAGTCTCATTGACTCTTGCGCACTACAGCATCGTTCAAGACTTCGCCATATACATCCTACCAATGCACATTGTCTGGAAGCTGCAGATGCCGCGCGGTCAAAAGATCGCCCTGTGTGCTCTTCTCGGTGTCGGACTGGTCGCAGTTGCAGCTGGCTGTGTGCGCTTCTACTACGTTCTCTTTCTCTCTGACGAAGCCGATATCTGGTACTACATGGCCGACTCGTTGAACTGGTGCAGCATCGAGATCTACGCAGGTATGTCTCCTCTCAAATCTTTGATCAAATCCCACAAGGCTGACTCTGTGTTTTTGCAGCCATCATATGCAGCTCGGCATCCACCTTCAAGGTCCTCATCAAGACCTACCTTCCCAAAGTCTGGAGCAGCGCCGGAAGTCACGAGAAGGCTTCTGGCACATCTCGACGTACACAGTCCGACCGATCGCGTAGTGGCAAGTTTGAGATGAAGCGTTTTGGCATCTCGTCGAACAAGTCAAACAGCAATAGAAAGTATGGGATCGAGGGGCTCACAGACCTTGGAAACGAAAGCGAGGAAGCTATTGTGCGACCTGAAAGCAAGATGGGCAGGGATATCGCGGTCTTCGTGACGCAACACTAGCTCATTTGGGAGTCGCAGTCACAAATGAAGCTGGACAGCTTGGTGCTAAGCAAAAGAGACAGACAAAAGCATAGCTTTGCGAGAGTTCTTGCGCCAATTAGCCATTGAGGTCAGACTGTGCTGTCTGTATTATTTCCCCATCTTGCATGCTTAGAGAAGCAACGGAGAAGGCAAGCAACTTGGCTATATCGTGAACGGGAAGACACGGATATGACAATACATTTCCATTACGAGCTGGGCACTCCAGAAACCGCATATATGATACCCATTACGCGTCGCATGGGTGAGAGTGGAAGTGTGCATCCGCAGAGCATCTCTCGCGAGGGAAAAGCAATGAGCGATTTGGGACGGGAAGTGATCTGGGTCCAGATCGCTGCCTAGTGGCGCCGCGGAAACTAGCGGTGATCCGCCTTTCCCTTTTCAGTCATAACGCGGCACGCCTTACATTCACCCTGAGGCAGCCGCCCGTGAACGTCTTCTGGGCTCCGCGCTCGAGCGTTCGTTGCCTTGAAAAAATTCTATTCATGGCTTCGTTCAGGCTGACCCGACAGGCCTCGCGCATTGCAGCCTGGCGCGTGCCCAGATGTAGCATAGCTCGTTCTACACCGTACCTGTCTTCGAGTCTACAAATGCAAAGACAGATTCCCATAGTCCGCTATCAACAATTCACCTCAACATCGCATACCGCTACCGCTGCAGGGAAAGAGACAATGGAAGAAAGCCTTCGCAATATGGATCTTGATGCGGCGGAGAAGCACATGAAGGACTGGTTCGGTGACCATGCATCATGGAGTCACGAACAGCTGCTCAATCTTGTTTATGGTACTAAACCTTCATTCAACTCATGACCATACACTAACAAATACAAGAGGAGGACCTCGTATCAGTGCGAAACCTACAGGGCTTTAGTGACTACAGTACTGGCGGTCGCAGACCCGGCGGCGGCCGTCCGTCTTTCCCACTCATGACACAAGAAGAATACGGGCTGCTGACCGCGCCATACAGTCAATGGGCTCCTGCACCTTTCAACAGAAACAACTACAGTTGCATGGACCGCATTGCACCGCTGATGAAGAGGCAAGAAATCCCAGAGCTCCGAAGATCACCACACATGGGCTTCCTCGCGCGTCTACGCCCTCTCAAAGCAAAGCTCTTGCTTGGTATGGTGCCAATCAGCGAAGATCGCTGGGTAGAACGCAAGATGGATGACCCTGCCAACTACAGGAACCTCTTCGAATTGATCAATGACCTCACCAAGATATTTGAATGGTTCAGTCACGAGGAGGTCCACACCCGGACTCGCGACGCTTTCAACTGGATGGTCGACAGATATGTCGAATTCCAAAAGGCAGCCAATTTGCGACGCGAACAAAATGGCGTCGAAGAGAGATTGGATCTTGCTGGCATGTGGGCAGAGTACTGGAACGACGGGATGACAAACATGTCGCAGCGTACGCATCAATGGATTGTAGATCGTGTCGATGAAGTTCAAGCACGTGCCTTCGAGCAGTACAAAGAGGCACTCAAAACCGCTGGAACCGACGAAGTAGCCATAGGAGAAGCCGGCAAGAAGTACTACGAGTGTGTCCAAGATCTCAGAGGCATGCTCACCAGACTCGAGTACACGATCGGCGTCCCCATGACCGGTTTCAAGGGCTACACAGCCACCAACGCCTTCACCGACCTCCCCCTAGCCCAACGAAAAAACACCTGGCACCAAATCATTAAAAGCAAGCCCTTCAAGCACCAACTAGCCATCTTGGAAGCAGAAGACAAAGCCGCCGCCGACCAAGCCGCCAACCCACCCTCCCTAGCAGAACAAATGGACATAATGGGCCAACTCACCAAGCCAGCCCACCCCCGTTTCCGCGACACCGAGAATCTCCTCGGCCACTACGAAGAAGGCAAGAAGAACCGCGAGGAAACCCGCCTCGCCCTTTGCGGTCCACCCAAGCCCGTCGCGCAAGAACATTGGATCACCATCCTACGCGAGCGCATGGATTTTTACGCAAAGAACCCGCGCAACCTAGAGAGAAACCCCGATGCATGGGGTTTTGTTTGCTACCGCCTCACCTACTCGGAAACCGACGAAGAATGGACTACCTTCGAAGAAAACTTCACCAAAGACGTCATGCGCTCTGGGACGTGGATCTCCGGCTTCGAAAACATCAAGAGCAAGGCCAAAATCATGTTCATCGACGGCCGAGAAGCTGGGATCGCGGAAGGCGACATCGCGGCTGCGAAACAACACTTCAAGCGGACTTTCACCATGCTACCCACGCTAGGCCGTATGTGGACGCAGGATTTCCTCGTCGTGGACAAACAAGCGTTCAAATCACATGTCGACCCCCCAACCGAGGAAATCAGACCCCCGCCTCCGTACGGTGCGTCGTGGGGAAGTAATGGCGGCCATGTGCGCCTTGTAGACACAACACTCGATCTACTTTCCCAGGAATTCATCGACCAAGTGTCGCCGGGATACAAGGGCGAGATGAAGATCTTGTCGAGCCTGCTTCTGGAAGAAGTGTATCCGCTGCTTGCGACGCTGTCTGTTCGTCCATTTGGACTTTGGCCCTGTGCGAGACTGCATCCGAGGGAGGTTTATGTGGGGACTACGGATGCGGCGCAGGAGGGGTGGTGGGAGTTTAGTCGGATGGATCTGGGGTTGATGCAGGGGTTCTTTCAGAGTATGAGGGGGAGGCAGGCGGGTTTGAGGGCTAGGGGGAGTTGAGTGAATGGGGTGGAGTAGGAATCTGTTCGTTTTGTCTTGCGTTCGGCCAGATTTTGCTTATGTTGATGACTTCGCAGATACGCGGATGATATCTCGCACAGTGAAAACTTCGCCTGCCGTTGAGTGTAGGTACTCAGGCCATCTTTCTGTTATCCACGCTTTTGTTCCCTTTGTCTTGTCAAACCTCCCTTTGTATCATCTCGTCACTAACAATACCCACGCTCTCCAGCACAAGGTCTTTGTCCGGTCTCATCTTTGTTGCATTCTAGTAGCCAACACGAATATTCATGAACCATGACACCGTAATGCTGACCTGCATCCTCTCACTGGTACCATGATGACCCAAAGACGACGAACCAAACACATCTGCAGCGCTCCATGCGACCCCTACGCAAGGAGATGCGCTCGAATGACAAATATTGCACCTTCAAGGATACATGTTCCTCCACAGATGTCCGATGTGCGCCCCGTACAAGACGTTGCGACGAAGGAGATCGACACGGCGTTTTGCAAAGGTGACGGTGTTGGTCTATACCAGAGAAGACCACAGAATGTCGTCACGACAGAAGTTAACACAGCGTCTCTCAAACCCTACAGCCCTCCTCCTTCCCAGAGAATACCACGCAAGCGGCGTCGACCCGATACAGACGACCATCCCAACCCAGAAATCCCCCCATACCACCACCAACCCCATCCTTCACAACCCCCCGAATCATACGCACCAGACCATCACGAAACATACAATCAGCCCCCACAAAAACGCCACATACCCAACTCCTTCTACCCCACTTCGCCAACCGCCCGCTTCGGCATCATACCCGCAACCGCACGCTGTACCCTCGCTCACATTACGCACCTGGGGAAGACAAGCATCGCCATGGGCGTTTGTGTATGTAAACATGTTTCTAGGGTATGTAGAGGGATTTGTAGGGGTATTCCGGGATATGTGAGGGATGTGCATAGGGCGGGTGTGGTGAGGGGGGTGTTTGAGATGAGGGAATTGAATTTGGCGGGGAGGGGGGAGGGTGTGAAGGGCAGGGATAAGCAGCGAGGGAAGGGGGTGGGGGATGCTGTTACGAGGAGTCAGAGGAGGGAGGTGGATGAAGGGATGCGGAAGGGAGAGATGGGAGAAGAGCGGAGGCGCGGGATGATTTTCACGCCTTTCTCTGATGCGGAGTTGAGGGCGTTGCGGTGTCGAAAGCGGGATGCACCGAACGCGAAGACGTCAAACCCGGCAGGCCAACCCACGCCACCCACAACCCGCTGTCCCCTCTGCCAATTCAACAGCCCATCTACATCCCCATTCTGCACCACATGTCTAACCCTCCACCCACCCGGTGCGGCCCCCAAATCCCACGCTCAAGGCATAGTATCATACGACAAATCTCCCGACATCTACACCTCGCCGGTCGACGGACAGCAAGCTACACTACTCACGTACACATCGAACGAAGACCCCGATGAAGACTATCTATGTACAGGTGGCGCCGGGCCACCCGGTACCCTAACGCCCTCTGGTTCCCACGTGACGATATCGCCGGACGAACGTAGACGACTGCTGCGAGCTAGAGAACATGCGTGGGGGAATGATAGTTTGAGAGAAGCGAGGGATCAGGAGCGGCGGGAGATGGCTAGGCAGAATGGGGTACAGATCCCGGAGGGTAATCAACCGTATTTCTCGGACATACAAGAGGAGATTACGACGAGGCAGGCGTTGAGTCTGAATAAAAGTGTTGAAGTGGAAAGGGCGTGGATGTTGAAACTCGTGGGGTATAGAAAAGACGCTGAGGAGCGGATGATACCTTTCCCGCTAAACATCCCTGGATACGAACTACTGGAAGATGTGGAGATGACACGATTAGAGGGAGATATCGAGCTGTTGGATGGTTGGTTGGCTAGTATGGGTTACACTGCCATTGTTCCTCCGCCTACAAGTGGTGCGAGCGGCGAAAAGAAGACACCGCTGACCTCGAAACGATTAGCTGCCAGAACCAAACAACTCAAAGCGATCCAACAACGAGAAGCAGACCGGCAGTACCTGGAGCATATTGCCGACCTGAACCGTCAAGCACTTTCCATGGGATATGTGTTCCCGGAAGGCGTTCCAGGCTGGGAAGAAGTCCATCACTCGGAGCAACAACGTATATTATGGGCAGTCTATACAAATCAAGTCAACGCCACGTCGAAGAAGAAGAGGAAAAAGGCGCGACGAGGATCACGGAATTCGAACACCATCGCCACTCCCGAGGAGCAGGCCCGAATGAAACGT